GGGGGGGGGGGTTGCTCGAGGTACCACTGTAACGCTCTCACTGACTTGGTAAACAAGCAACTGACCTTGGGGTTTGGCCGCTGCTTATATAGGCCAAACTCCCTCCCTTATTTTGGGTCCTACCACTTTAGGTAAGTATTAGGTAGAAGTACTACCATTTTCACATGTAAACACTTGCAAACACGGGCAGACGGAGAGACTTTACAAACAAACAAACAAACAGACGATCGAAACGGACAACAAACAGGATAAAATAATGTATATATGTGTGTGTAAGACCGGGAATGGAGTTGTGCTGTGGAAAATGCGATGTAAGAGACTGTCTATAAGCCATCGGATCAGTGTGTGCACCCACATTGCCAACAGCAGGATAACAGGTAAGTCGCGATGACGATGAATGGGTGTGTGTGTGCTGTGTGTGTGTGTGTGTGTGTGTGAAGACAAAAGCTTCACTTTCTCACATTTCTCTTTGTCATGATGACAGTAAATAATATTAGACTAGATATTCTTCAAGACACTTCTATACAGCTTAAAGTGACATTTAAAGGCTTCACTAGGTTAATTAGGGTAACTAGGCAGGTTATGGTAATTAGGCAAGTTATTGTATAATGATGGTTTGTTCTGTAGACAGTCGAAAAATATAGCTTAAAGGGGCTGATAATATTGACCTTAAAATGTTTTTAAAAAAATTAAAAACTGCTTTCATTCTAGCCGAAATAAAACAAATAAGACTTTCGCCAGAAGACAAAATATTATCAGACATACTGTGAACATTTCCTGAATCTGTTAAACATCATTTGGGAAACATTTAAAAAAAAAAAAGAAACAAAAATCAAAGGGCGGCTAATAATTCTGACTTTGACTGTATATATAGCCAAATAATTCACAGACAGACTTTAAGCAGTGTATGTTTACCCATGAGTCTCTGCGCAGCTCCTGAAGCGGCGGCACCTGAAGAAGAGGAGGCTTCTTCATCTGTCAGAAAGGAGGAAAACTGATGACTCTTTAACGTTCACAATAAATAAATACAAATCATAGCTGCAGATTGAATAAACATACGAACACAAAATAGAGATGTGTAAATACAAGTCCTAGTTACAGTACAGCACCACAAAACCTAAACCTATAAAACATATTAACTTGTATTCTTGAACTTTTAAAACAACACTGTATACTAATAACACAACACATAGAGGATAAGTAGAGCTCATTTGCTAATATTAAAGAGATGGCTGATCTGATATTAAAAATGGCTCAGTAAAGAAGCAACTAGCCATTATTTTGATGATTAATTAGTTTAGTTTTTATAAGATTAATCCAAAAAATATTCTAAACTCCTTTTTAAATTTGACTTTTGCTTTTTATAAGTACATAAACATGTAAATCTGTGTATTATCTATATATAAACAAACACAAAAAAAGCTACATGTAGAGTTTAATGATCTTTCATTTTAAACCTTAAATCCAAAATATAAACATATACTGTCCATACATATGTAAATATACACAATACATGAATGATGAACACATGATTTAAAGATGAAGGAATTCATACAGATATGCAAGTTCTAGTTACTTGTATTAATAAACATACTAAACTGTTAATACAAAACTTAAATAAATATATGAATAAAAATAATAAATCAATGAACGTTACCATAAATAAATAAACAATCTATTTATCTATCTATCTATCTATCTATCTATCTATCTATCTATCTATCTATCTATCTATCTATCTATCTATCTATCTATCTATCTATCTATCTATCTATCTATCCATTTTTCTGTCTGTCTGTCTACAAATCTATATATCTATTCATCCGTCCGTCCGTCCGTCCGTCTGTCTGTCTATCTGTCTATCTATGTAAATCCTAACTAGAAAAAAATAAATAAAATTTGCCTTGTATCTGTCATCAATCCACAGGCCTTTTTTTCCGTACATATTTAATAATAATAAAAAAATGGTCTAAAACGTATATTGACTGACTATATCATATGCAGATATCATTTAAGTTTGGCAGTAAAGAGGTTAAAGTTTACATAAAAATGGGTCATTACTTTAAAAGCAACAATCCTTTAAAATGAGATCAAGTAAAAATGCGTCAGATATTTGAAAACGAGGAAGTAAAGCAGGAAGTTTCACCTCTGAAGCCTCGTGATTCTGCCGCATCTCTGCATCCTCAGTATTCTACAAACACAAACAGTGGAGGAAATGAACACTGTGCTGAGAACAGCTGATTTTACCATAGTAAAGTATAGGCGTATGGGGGCTCGTCCGGGATGATGGATGATTAATGTGTGATATTACTGTTAACTAAGAGTAAACAAATTTTATGTTATATAATTACAATGAAAGTATATTGTCATCTAACATTTGAAAGATCTAACATCTATACATGTTAACTGATGCAATATATAAAACAAATATTTTCAAAACAAAAGCTGACAAATTAAAAAACATACTACGTTACACTGTCGCCTTTTCATGAGGTGTGTGTTCTTGGTTTATTTCATGGGCTCTGGATATTTTAATGTTTTATTTTGAATGTTTTATTTTTATTGTTACTGTTTTTATTTCTGCACCGTTTTGTGTAAAATGCTTTGAGAGTTAAGCGTTAAAGGAGCTATATAAAAATAAATCATATTATTAAAATTAAAAAGAAAAATTAAAACTAATTCAAAATAGAAATAAAAAGGACTTTACATAAATATATGTGTAAAGCATAGGATATTATATAAACATATACAGTGTAAACAAATTGATAAACTAATTATGAAATTGTATAAAGTTTTCAATTAAATGAAACATATAAAACAAATATAATTAAAACCAAACAAAACTGGTTTGACAAAAATGAAAAAATATATTAAAATTAAAACTAGTTTGAAATAAAAAGGATATTACAAAAATATATTTATAAGATATAGGATAGTATTAGTGCAGTAAAAATTAGTGCATTAACGCATGCGATTAATTTGAAATAACACGTTAAAAAAATTAATGCAATTAACACAGTTGCAGGTTTTTTATTTCCTGTAGTGGTCAACGTGTGTTCAACATGCAAAGAAATATGGATAAGACCAAGGAAGCACTTTTTGCACTTTTTTTCTCCTGCGTTTCCTCCAGAGTTTCATTTTTAACATTAGACTTCTGTTTTAATAAAATTTGATACCGCATGGCGAACGGAAAGAAAAACCTCCGCATTTCGTGACTCGTTGGTCCTTTAAGGTAAACAAAAATCGCTGTTTACATGGTAGACCCTTAATAAGAGCATTATCTTAATCATATTAAAATCGGAGTATTGGTGTCTTATGCAAATGTACTCAGGATGTGACATGATGTCGCAAGCTGTCATACCCAAGTTTCATTTGGGTGTTTATGCAATCATCAAGTTTATATTCTTATGTGAGAGTTTATGGGTGTATATGCATAGATCGAGTTTATATGTATATGCAAGTGTGTATAGGTGTGTTTGCATGCAGCAAGTTTATATGTATGTGCGTGTGTTAATGTGGGTGTTTATGTGAGGATCGAGTTTATATGTATGTGCGTGTGTATGTGGGTGTATTCATGCGTCAAGTTTATATGTATATACACAAGTTTCATTCATGTTGTTTTGAACATCCAGTAGCATAGGTGTATATGCGAGTAATTTATAGATGTATGTACACGTGTTTTATGTATGTGTTGATAAGCAAAGTTTGATATAAATCCTATACGGCACCTCATACTGTCAGACAGCACATTTATCTGCCTTTCAGCATGAGCGTTCAAATGTGTCATTAAGTTTGACGTGTTTCCCCCTTACATGCAAGCGTCTGCTTCGTGTTGTTGTGTCAGAATCCTTGTGAAATACAGCCATACTTTAGAAAGCTTAGTTTAAGCAAATTTGATGAACGCCGCAATCATGCGTGTTGAATCTGAAGGGAGTCGCTCTGACTGCCCTCTCCTGCGCGGTGTGTGTGTGTGTGTTCGTGTGTCTGTCTGTCTGTCTGTCTGTCTGTCTGTGCGTCTGTGTGTGCCCGCACGTGTTTGTTAGCAACAAACCTGCATAAACACCCGTAGCCACTAAATCAAAAAGTTATGAATTGCCATGAGATTGCGTTGCACTCTCAGCTCACATCATGCAAAATAAAAGATCCACATTGTCCCCCGATAATGTCAAGCAGCATCTTGATGGTTTATTGTGGGTCTGTTGTTTACATGAAGAAATCTGTGTTACAAGTTAAACAAAAATTCTAATAAACAATTATATTTTGAATTTAAATTCTAATAAACAATTATATTTTGAATTTAAATAGTTTTTGTCTTGCGTTTACATTCATTTTACATTTGAATAGCCAAAATTACAAGTTTCAGTCTATTAAATGTGATTAATCGTGATTAATTAAAAAAAAAAGTGTGATTAATTAGTAAATTTTTTTATCGATTGACAACACTAGATATTATATAAACATTTATAAATAAACATAATAATAAAAAGTAATGTAAAAAAAATATATATATAAAAAAATTTTTAAATGCATGAATTAAAAGTACTGTAGTTCTCAAAACATTAATAAACACAATATAATACAGTATATAGTGAAAAAAATAATACAAATAACAAAATGTGCTAAAACTGAAGTAAAAGTAGACGATAAGTCATATCAACAGAGCAAAACCTACAGCAGTATCTCAGTGATGTGATATTGACGTTTTACCTTTGAGTTTCTGCGGGGGAAACGAGGGACTTTAAACTTGGCTGGTTTCTTCTGCATAAACAGAGGAGAAAACTATTCAAATGCAGTTCAGAAATATACAGTGATTCTAGGAGCATAACCAGATCTTACAGGTCGACAGTCCTGCATCTCCTGAGGTTTCTCACTGAAGTCTGACAGAAACCCGTCTGAAGCTTTAGGATAGGCTTTCTCAGCATCTGCTGCCTGAAAACACATGATTTTTGCATTAATTTGTTTAAGAAGGGATGTTAATTAGTATTTATGCATGATTTCAAGTGTTTTACCATTGCATCCCATGATGAAGCTCCCATATATCCATTTGAATACGAATTCTGGAAAAGAAATGTGTCTTGTTAGCTTGAGAATGCTAACATACTGATCTGCTTCTTCAGAGCCAAACTTCTAAACGCATCTCCTCGCAGAGATTTCAAGCTATGACCTTCAAACTTGCGTCAGACCTTAAAACTGATGTGACTTGGTGTGCTATATCTTTTCTAACTGATCTGACTTACAGTTTTCCTAAAACGGACCCAAAAAATTTGAAAAAAAAACCATTGACTTAACATTGGACCAAAGTTTTTGATGTCATAACTCTTGATCAGACTGTTGTACAGACATGAGGCTGGGCTCATTTAACACAGTCTAGCCAGCAGCAAATAACTGATTATTTTTACTTCCTAGCCACACCCTAGCAACCAGTTAAAGCACCCTAGCGACTGCCCCATTGACTTCAATTGTAAAAACTGACATGGCCATCTCTTGAGTAGAACACTGTAGATAATCCGGGGTTGGACTCAGACTGCCATCTTCCAGACTGGCAATCTAACCAAGCCCTAGCAACCATTTACACCACCCTAGAAACCCAAATTAAAAATCCTATCTTCAAATCTGAACGTCATATAGATATTCATTACCCTAGCATCTGCCTGACAACACCACAGAAACCACCAAAGTACTGTAGCAACTGCATAGCATTCACCAACAGTACCATTGCAACTGCCTTGTAACCAACCAGTTTACCTTAGAAACTAACTTGCAACCAGAGTATCCACCTACAGTACCCTAGCAACCACATATCAGCACCCTAGTAACTGGTTAGCAACACCCAGTTTACCTTAGCAAATGTCTGGGGTTTGCTAGCAACACCCAAGGAAGTGATTAGCAACTAGTCGGTACCCTAGGAACACCTTAATCACCCGGATGACCCCATCAACATCTTAGAAACCACTGATGTTATCTTAGCAACCACCTTTCTAAAACTACTTCAAAGAAATCTAAATGTGTGAGAGTGAACAGTCCGAACCTTAAAGTCCTGAGGGGAAAGACTGCGCCCGGCTTCGGTTTTCAGGAATGTGTCGTCCTGCAGAATCATTGAAGGATGTTTAGTGGACAGACGTGACACATTAAACTCAAGTATATCAAGCACATCTGTACCTTGAGCTCGTGAGGCTTGTGAGGAAACACTGAATCATTGAGGTCATCGAAGCCATCTTCATCCTGAAAGCACAGCTGATCTGAGTTCAGCATCTTAACCACACATCTACACGCTCGGGTCTGTTTTGACCCAGATGAAGATGAACGTTTACAAAACCACCATAGATTTTTGGAGGTGGGGGGTTGGGTGACTAATAACATCAAAATAATTTACAGTAATTAAACTACCTGACAAAGTCTTGTCGCCTGTCTAAGTTGTAGGAACAGCAGATAATAACTGGACTTCTAGTTGATGATTTGGTATCTGAAGTGTCTTATATGAAAGGCAAAGGCCTCTGGATTTTGCTGATTTGAGCACAATAAAATCTGATCATGTCTTGATGTTGACTGATTTGATGAGGACAGTGCGGTCTGACTCTGCTCAGACTAAAGTCTCATCACTGAACAGAAATAATGTCCAGTATAGAATATAAAGTCCTGCTGCAGTGGAGACAGAATGAATATTGTGTCTGACTCCATCATGAGCTTGGAGGACTGCATCCATACATCTCTGACATGACTCACATCACTGATTAATAAAGTCATCTGGAATGAAGAAGAAAGCGTTCAGCAGGACTCCCAGAGTTCATCAAGAGTCTTTATGTTCATCTTCAACGCCTCCTCCTTCATCTTACCCCAGAAATGCTTAATAATGTTCATTTCTGGTGACTGGGCTGGCCAATCCTGGAGCAGCTTGACCTTCTCTGCTTTCAGGAGGTTTGATGTGGAGGCTGAAGTATGAGAAGGAGCGCTATCCTGCTGGAGAATTGTCCCTCTCCTGTGGTTTGTAATGTAATGGGCAGCACAGATGTCTTGAAACCTCAGGCTGTTGATGTTGCAGATCTCTCTCAAACCATGATTTCTCCTTCACCAAACTTGACTGATTTCTATGAGAATCTTGGTCCATGCTGGTTCCAGTAGGTCTTCTGCAGTATTGGTGATGATTGGGATGCAGATCAACAGATGATTCATCACACTCTTTTCAAAAGGTGCACATTTGTACTTGAAGGGTCCATATTGGTACCTCAAATTACATATTAGGAACTACAAATTTTAGGAGGAACACTTTTGTACTTTTTAGGTACTAATAGTTACCCTTAAGGTATTAATATGGACCTTTTAGATACAAATTTGCACCTTTTGAAAAGGTAACACCCCAGTGACAGCTCACATGCCTTTATTTCTTAGAGTGCGGAAAAATCCACCTTCTGCCACTTTTACAAATGATCAATTAGAAGTCAAGCTATTATTTATTTCACTTAAAACTGGGATCCACAACAAGACTTTTGTTAGGTAGTTTTCATATTTAACATACAACTTAATTTATAAATTATTTAAGCAATTTAAGAGACTAATAAACACCTCAGAAATACCCTTGTAAAATAATTCATGAGGTCAGAAAAGCTTAGTCCAATATATTAAATAATCTCCATAAAGCTATGGTTTACAGTGAATTTATAACAGCTTAGGGATGTTGATGTTTTAAATTAATCATATGCAATGGATTTTTTGAGATTACTGCTTTTATTTAATGCCTATTTTGTATATATTGCAAGGTTTCACTAAATACAAAGCAAAATAAAACAGTTCCTCTGGCTGAGTAGCTGTTAGTGGAATGGTTGCCAATCAGCGATCACAGGTGTGTGTTCGTAGAGCATTTTACAACAGTTCAGAATCCGACTCAACCAATCAGAATCAAGAACTGGAACTATACTTTACTTAATATTGGTATTCTCATATCTAAGAAAGTGTTCGGCCTAAATTTAGTTGATAATCATGTATTTATATTGCACATTTATCGTGTGTGGCCATACACCCAAAGCACTTCAAAATCATGAGTGGGATGTGTCATTACTCCACCACTAGTGTGCAGCTACAATTGGATGATGCGACGGCAGCTACAAGACAACAGCGCCAGTGCTTCACCACACAGTGATAGAGCCAATTCAGAGGATGAGGATGATTGGGAGGTCATGATGGGTAAGGGCAGATGGAGGGAATTTGGCCAGAGCACTGGTGTTACGCCCCTACCATTAAAGCATCAAACCACTGCTGAAACAACATAAGGGGCTCGAAATTGCGACCATTTTCGTGGCATATGCACTCTAAATTTTATCTATGCGACCTCAAAATATATTTGGGAGCATCTGTGCGAGTGCATAAAATTGTTGTTTGCGACCAGTTTTTACTGCAAAATGTTCACCACATGCACGGGAGACATTCACGCAGAATGCATCTCTGCACTTGAAACGCAGCGCTCAGGAATGGTTTAAAACAGTTGTCATGTCAACTTGCTGCAGTAAACAAAGCCAATTCTGTAATGCTTGCCCCGCCTTCACGCTCTTCTTATTGGTCCACTACTCTAGCACTGAAATATCAGCTGTCAATCACTGTCAACGCCTTCTGGCTTGGGATGACAGAGAGCTACTACCACGAAAAACTGTAAAGCGCTGAAGATGAGAATGAAGATAACACTGACAGATTTTGTTTTAGAAACCATGACATCTAAAGTTACAAATAATGACAAATCTTACTAGTGATCATGTGCTGAATGTTAATCCACCATCTACGCTTTTCCAAGAGTGGATAAAAGACTTCCGTTGGCTTCAAGTCCGCTATGAAAAGTCTGGGATGGAATTTTTTCAGGTAAATGTTTGCCACATCTAGCACGAGAGCTTCTGTTTAATCCTTCATATAAATGCCAGATGCTGTCCGCCATGCAAGTGGCAGATATCCATCAAATTTAACACCACGTACACCATCACAAACGGGCTTGCACTGAGTAAACTGATATCGCTACTCATGAAAAGACTGCTATTGCTATGAACATGACGTATGCATATAATAAGGTACAGTATATGTCAAAAGCATCAGTACAATATCAGACAGCACCCGTGAGAACAGCACAGTTATATCCTTAACTGATTCATTCATGTCCAGCAGTGTGTGCAGGGCCGGTGTGCGCTCTGTATATCCTTTAATCACTCAATTATGTTATATAAATGTATTTTCTTGTGATAACGGGATTTTGTTGAGACATATTTTCTTCACGCATGCATAAATATATTTTATTGCTTGTTAGTTTTGATTAGTGTTGATTTCAAATGCAATAAATATGTTTGTATAACACTTGTAGTAACAGTGCTTATAATTGGTGGGTGCGGCTATATTTTGGCTGATGCGCCTACATTTTTAAAGTTAGGAGCAGCGGTGCTACCAAGCAAAAAGGTTCATTTTGAGCCCTGATATGGAATATGAATCCTTATGAATCTTCCCAATCAGCTGAATGATTCTGAAAGTCAAACCTTGAGATGAGGATGAGGAGTGAACCCACAGGCTCCCTTCAGTTCAGCTTCATCATTCTCCTGAAACACATCAACAACACTGTCAGACGTCTAGACAGATGTCGAAATGTTCATCAAGTTACAGTAAGTGGTGAAACATCCCTCAGCTAGATGGATATATAAATACACACACACACACACACACACACACACACACACACACACACACACACACACACACACACACACAGAGTCAAGTCTGATATTATTCATACCGCTGGAACATTCTGGCTTTCTTGGACCAGAAATGCCACAGGCTTCTCCCAAAGCATAAGATGATGTACACAAGGCATCATAGAGGGAGAAAACAGTACTCGGCTTTTACTTACAGTTAAACAAAAAACTTCAACTTAACATTTTAGTCTTTTAGTCTAAACTAATTTGTAATATTTCCTATATACATATAAAACAGTTGAAGACAATATATTAAAACTGAACTATCAGACACAAAACACTGATCTGAGCTGTACTGATTTACTAGCTCTGTTGTTAAATGTCAAACTTCCAAAAAGAAACACTCATTACTATTCAGTCACAAGATGGCGCCAAACACAAAGATATAACCCACACAGTTAAAGTCAGAATTATTAGCGTCCCTGTTTATTTTTTCCCCCAATTTCTTTTTCACAGAGAGCAGATTTCTTCAGCACATTTCTAATCGTAATAGTTTTAATAACTCATCTCTAATAACTGATTTATTTTCTCTTTGTCATGATGACGGTAAATAATATTAGACTAGATATTCTTCAAGACACTTCTATACAGCTTCAAGTGACATTTAAAGGCTTAACGAGGTTAATTAGGTTAATTAGGCAGGTTAGGGTAATTAGGCAAGTTATTGTATAACAGTGGTTTGTTCTGTAGACTATCAGAAAAAAAAAAAAAAAAAAAATATATATATATATATATATATATATATATATATATATATATATATATATATATATATATA